GTCATGGGAGGCAGACACCATCAACTATCCATTTTTGGAAATCAAAGGTGACTAATGCAGGGTTAAAAATGTTTGAAAAAAGATACTTATTGCCAGTTGTAAAATATCTTTATCATATGTCTAAATTCATTATTTATTAAAAAAAAAACTTTTAGTAAGTCATTATCTTTAGGAAAGATTTCTCTAAAGAAAAACTAATTGTAGAATTGTACTTATTAAAAATTTAAGAGAAAATGAATATTAAATGACCTTGAAATGCCTTGAACAGTTAACATTTGCTAATTCACTATGGATGTCTGAAAAAAATATTTTGTTTCAAGAAATAGCACTTATCTCTAAGGATGGTGCCATAATAGAAATGCTTATTTTAGAATCACTTGAATCAATAATTTTGTTCCAGAAAACAGCCAAATAATTTGAGGTTCTTTGCTATCTTGGGATTGTTTGTCCATTTTAAATTTGCAATTCTTTTCTTTTCTAATTTTTTTTTTTTTTTTTTTTTTTTGTAGGATGTTTCAAGTTTTAATATTTCTTCAGCAATTACACAGTCATTTTCAATATGAAAGGCTTTAATTCTTTTTTTCTTCAAATTCCTTTGTCTTTTATGAATGGTGTTGGCTTTAAAAAGAAAACATATCTGTTAGTTAATTAATTCAATTTAATAACTTAGGCATATTGTTTCTTTTCGTTTCATTCTTCAATTTGAATTTAATGAGATGATCATAAATTGAGCATTGCTTCAATTAACAACAATGTACCTTATTGGATTCCCAGTTACAGTATGTTGAATATTATCCAAAAATAAAAAATTGTCTGTTTGTCAACATGATAGCATTAGAATGATAATGCTGAAAACCTGGAACATTTAAGTCTCTTTTTCAAAATTATTATTATCAAAAGATACATTGTTGGTATGAGTCATAGTTTGAAATTACATAAAAATTTGAAATATCTAAATTTTGTTATGGATATTTGATAATCAAACATGATCTATAAACTCAATATATAAGCAAGTGATGGGTAATTTTTCCATATTTTTCTCTATATTTGATATTGTATAATGACAATTTTTTTTATCAACTATTTGTGTTATTTAAAGTGGTAACATTTTGACTAAGTTTTTTGAGAATAACTATGGTTTTTTCAGGTATGAGGTCTACTATTTAATCTATAGCTGGTGGGAGGAGATGGATTCATACCTTTCCTAATGGTATTTGCATGTAAGTGAATGTAATGAACCTGACTGAAATTTGAACTCTGCTCCTCAATTTCTTGTTCCCAGCCACTATCCATTATACCACCCACATATCCACTGAAGTTATTAACAGGACAAAATGGAAATTGTGTAATATCAAACGATTAAGAGACAGATGATAGATATTACCTATTGAAATTATATGTCCTTGTCTATTTCCTAGTTTCATCTTAGGATATGATTATTTATATGACTTATATTTTGTTATGATACAAGTCTTTCTATTTGGATTTTGGACTTATTGCATTTATTTTTAAATTACTTTTTCTCAATCTTAGCTTGCCATGTTGCAACTTGTATGCAAAATATTCATTATGCTTTACTATTTTAAATTTGAAATATTCATAGTTATTTTGTACATCAATATTTAGAACAGAGCAGTGTTTTATAACTAAAATACATTGATCTCTGATCTTGTTACAAGCAATAAAAGGTCCTATTGATCTCAGTTTTGAGTTAGGAAGTCTCACTAATCATTTAGCCATAATACTGCACTCATTCAAGAAAACTTTTTTCTTTATTTTTCTCTTGTTTGTCTTTCTTTTTATTCCTTTTTTCTTTTTCCATTTTTCTTTTTTTTTTCTTTTTCTTTTTTAACTTATGAGTAATATGACCTGGTGTTGATTCAGACCAAATAGCTTTACTTTTTTTGTCTTATGACTGATTTGTATTAAAGTGTAGTATCTGTCCTGTTTTTTCTATTTTTATAAAATGGTGAGGTGTATTCATTGCTTAATTATACAAAAAATTCTTAAGATTATGGCTTCAAAAAGATAAAAAATATTCCCAATATTATTCATACCAAAAAGCTATACCATATACTTTTGGCAAAAAAGAATTGCAATTAAATATCCCATGATTCACCCACTACTGATTGTTAATCCTAATTTTGTTCCTTCAGTGTAAAACCTTTTTCAGTTCAGATTTAAAAATTTTGAAATAAATTAGCTTGTTCTTAATAAAATATCTTAGTAAGAATATATGTTAAAATTTAAGAAAATTGGTTTGCAGGAAATTATCAGATGGCAAAAATCACATATTAGCATTTTTATTATATTTAAAAAAATTTTTTTTTTTTTTTTTTTTTGCATTTAGTATTTGTATCATTTGAGTTATGCAGATCCTAATAATTGTTGAAATAATAAACATGGGGCATCCTATTTTAAAGTCAGTTTATCTTATTCAAGACCAGTGTTTTCTTAATACTTGTCATATAGACTTTATTTTAGTTTAAATATCTTGGCATTATCTCATTATTTATTCTTCATTTTAAATATTAAAAAATAATTTTAACTGCAGTTATATTTTATTTACATATTTAAAAAAGATGTTTTTATCTGAATATTAAATACATGTATAAATCCAGTATAAGCTGCTTTTAAAAACCTGCCAGCTGTTTCTTTAAAAGGGAGTAAAACATCACTTAGAATTTATAATGTTCAGTGCCAGTAAATATTTAGATTTTACAAGTACTACATTTAACAAAAAGTTTTCATTTTGGTTTGGAAACTGTATCCTATGTGAATTTATAGGATTGAATTTAAAGAGCTTTTAGCCATATTGTTTTAACATAGATCTTCACCTTTTAGCACATCTAATCATATGATGTGCGACCAGTTCATTCAAATAGAGTATCTTTTGCTTCTCATTTCTAAGATTTTATTTGCATGTGGATGTTTGGGATTAACAATTACCAATGTTTTTCTTTAATTTCACTACTAAGAATATTTTGTTTCTTTCTTTATAAATTGTCCTCAGTGAACAAGAAAAAAAAAAAACAACAAATGACGCCTTATAACTAGTAATTGATAATTCTTTTTCTCTTCTCGCTCAAAATTGGTGGATAATGATGATAATTTGAACTTCAACAAAACTTTGTTGAATCTTTAGAATAAATGTTCATTTTCTTTTTTTTTATAGTTTTCATGATTTTCTTTTTATCAGACTGTAATCTTTATCAAGGAAATCTAAAGAATGTTGCCTACCCTACCTAAATTTGGGAAGAGGTGCAGTATTGTTTTTTTTTTTTTTTTTTTTAGCTTTAAAAAAAATTATTGCTGATAACCTTGTGATACAGTTCTGTATTAGGAAATTAGTCTTAATTTAATTTGACCACTGGTGTGTTATAGATCTTACAAGAAAGATGATGTTAGAGTTCTCTGATTGCGAAATGTTTTTCATTTATTCTATTTGAATTGGTGACCCCTTACCAGCCCTTTAAGGTATTTCAGAACTAATATTCTGCTTTCCTATACTACTTCAATAAAAGCATTAATTTTATTGGGATGTAGCAAAAGTATTTTCGTTTTTATAGACCTTTACTCCAAAGCTTATTCCATATACTCATTAAATACTAGAACTCCATTATATTATTAATAATTTCATTATTATTACTATTTTACTGTACCTTTAATTTCAGATGCTTAATGTTAGATACAAGTATTAAGAATTTGAAGCATTATTTTAAACTTAGCTTCAAGCCACTAAAACTGCCCACAAAATTCAGGAAGGGGAAACAAATGAAACTGTACTTTATCATACTGCTCAAAACTGATTTAAGAATTTTAAGGATGGTGACTTGTTCCTTGAAATAAATCCTGCAATTGGATGACCATCACTTTTCAGTTATGATTCTTTAAAATACAAGGTAGAGAAAAAAAACAAAAAAAACAAGAGAAAAGCTTTTTGATAGGTTCCCAATGATAAAAAATGAAAATGCTTTTGATATACCACAATATTATGGTTTTAAAAATGGAATCATCATATTATAAGATTAATTAACATATTACTAAATAGAGAACATGATCAAAGAAGACAAAAATTGAATTATATCTATCAATAGAAAATAAAATTGTGACAACCTGAAGGATAATGTTGATCTTAATCTCGGTTCAGTATGTACATAGAAAGTAGTAGTCAGTTAGTTATGTGCCATGCGTGACACAAGCTTAGGCGATTATGTATCTTTTGATACATGACTGATGAGGCAGATTTTCTCTTGTGGTAGACCAGTTGCCATCCAAGACTATAGAACTGGGTCTGTCCTTATTATTATGTTATAATTCTCACTAACCTTTGTTTGTGGAGCAAATATTGAATTGCATAAGGTACATCTAGAACATTATTCAACCAGTTTTGCTGTCATTCCTGCAACAGAAAAATGTACTGTTCCAACAGATGCCTTTTGATAACAAAATACATTTTAATTTTTTAGAATGCTTTGTCTCTTCAGGAGATGGGCAATTATGCCTTTCCACAGATTTTTCTTTATCATCTATGAATTGTCATGACTCTCTTAGACTGATGGCGATTTCCCATTGATTTCTCCATAGTTTTGAATTCAGAGTAGTGCTTCTCTTAGATTGGCTGCTTCTCAAGGCTAAAAAGCCCTGTTTACACTGCTATTTAACCCTTATCTGATGAGAGAAGAGATTGATCCATACCATTCCCAAGGGCATTTATGTGAAAATGAACACAGTAGACTAATGGGAATTTGAAACCTGCTAGCAGATTCCACTTTTTTTATTGCTGTTACTCTACCTGCAAATCCAATAAATGTTTGACGGATTTGTTAACAAAAAATACAGTAGTGTTTTTAAGATATAAACTTTATCTTTCATTTTTATTTATTTTTTAACCCCCCCCCCATACCCGCCCTTGCTTTGATGATAAGCACAATACTATTATTTGTTGCAGGTCTGAGGGGAAGATTTATTCCTTGGATGCGTCAAACAGGGTGAATATGATGTACTGGTTACAAGCCTTACAAAAAAAGAGAAGAAAATACAGTGAAACAAGAGTCTCCAAAGACCCTGTCAGACAGGTAAGCATCTTTTTGACTATTTGAATATTCTTTGTTATATTATTGTTTTAATGCAGTTAGAAAGATAACACATTTTGCTGTTTTTTTTTTTTTTATTAGATTTTTTTTATCAGATTTTTTTTAGTCTTACATTTTTTAGTCTTAACATCAACAGAAATGCTTAGTGACTATAGATATATTAAAATTAATTTTTTTTTAGATTAAGTTAAAGGAATTAGATGAAAAAAAAATCTTGGTTTAATATTTTTAGCATATGTAGTCTAAACTACTGACTGTATTGCATTAAACTGGTTTAAAACTGTGCACAAATCATTATTATAGAAAAAAATGTTTCTACTTAAGCTTTCTTGTTAAATTCAATTTTGCTTTGCATTGGTTTATTTCTGAACAATTTAAAAATTTAAAGAACCTCTCGAAAGTAAATTTTTAAAAGAATTTTGAATTTATGCAACATGTCACTGTTGAGTTAGTATTAACTAGAAATCAAATATTTATAATCATCTATGGTAGAAAATATTTAAAAATATCTTTACTTTCATAACAGCAAAATATCCTTGACCAACTGACCATAGATTCAAATTCTGGTTTCCTGATCAGGATACTAATACTCTAATCATTTGGCCATATTTTTTATTTTTTTATTTTAATCATTTCACCTCAAGTAAGGAAATAAAGCTACTAGCACACAAGGGGTTATGGAGTGTTAGAGAATATGAGAAAAACTACTATTAAGGAGAGGACAATGAAAAAACAAGAATTAAGAAGACAGAAGATAATGATCGACATTGCATTTAAATTTTTGAAGATCAAAGTTGATTGGGAAGCAAGAAGTGGGAAGAGTTCCACAAGTGAAAAGTGTGATAGAAGAAACTGTTTCATGTAAGTTACAGTTACAACTAGCCATTTCAAATGTAAAATGATGTGCTTAAATTCATAATGTCTAGGTACCATAGTGGAAAGTTAATCAGAACAATTACCATGAAAGTATTTATAGAAAAGACACGGGAAAACCTATGTTATAGTGATGGGAAAGGGATTGAAACCAAGATGCCAGGTCAGGACCAATAACATTGCTGATTATTCTTTGGATTTTATATGACCACCATTTGGCTATGCACTCATAACAAAGCAACCAATTTGATTTTTGCCATACATCTATATATATATATATATATATATATATATATATATATATATATATATGTGTGTGTGTGTGTGTTCAATACAGTTTTCAGATGTATCAACTGGATTGTTTTGTAATTTACACTGTCTTAACTGTTAATCATGAGTACACTTAGTTAATTTTGCAGTCTTACTACATCAAAAGATTTCTTGAAGTCAAAAAAATATTAAGTTTATAACAATGGTTTGTTTACATTTGGATTGATGTTATCCATAAACAAAGAATCTTACTGTCCTTAACTTTGTATTAAAGCAGTTTATTGGCATATACTTCAATCAATTTTTCTTTTTTCAAATTGAAAGATTTTGGTTTTGGTATGAATAAGACTTTTAATTATCCTTTTTCTTAAAAAATTTTATTTTTGATCAACCTCAAAGAATCAAATTAATTTGCATTTTTTTTTTTTAATAGTTTTACGCATGATGCACTTAATTAGAAGGAATGATTCATAAACTAGGTATCAAAATGCAGTGATGTAAAATGGTTTCTTATTAAAAGGAGAATATAACATTAACATTAATAAATAAAAAAAACAAAAACTTTAATCTAAAAAAGAAATCAGCTGAGAGGGAATTTTTATACTTTGGTGATAATTGAAAGAAAAAAAAAAATTCTTCAGGTTGAAAGCGTGCTTCAAAAATGTGATGGAAAATTTAGTCTTTTCTGTCTGAATTTCTGGGATGAGCAGTTATCATTATTTACATTTGTCTTCATCTTTGATGTTGTTATCACAATATTTTGTCTGTTTTGTCACCCTCCCCCGCCTTCATCAGGTGTATTTCATTCTGAGTAACCTGCAGGGTAATTTTGAACTGAACCCATTATTTAATCTACTGGAGTAGATTGTTCCTCTTCCATTGCCCATGTCTAGTTCTTTATTTAATACTGCTTCTCTCCCCACCTGATTTCCAATGAATCCAAGTACATACTGCCTAGCCCATGAATTGAACTCATAATTATTACATCATCAAATTCCAGAACGAAGACTTTGTGTACTTGGACTCAGTAGAAATGGGTCGGGCAATAACTGAACAGTACTAAATAAGAACTAGATGAGATATCCCTTGTTTCCTGTTTACAATTAGGTTTATGGTTCCTTCTAAAGTCTCATTTTCTATCACTCCCAGCAGTCCTTTGTGTCTTGGGGTGAATTGATAAGGAAAAAAACGTCATCAAATTCATGATCCAATGGTTTAATCCACTAGAATATTATCTCATGCAACAATATAGCCTATTGTAAAAGAACCAATTGTTGTATAACTAGAGTAGTTATTTAATCACAGCTAGTAGTTAAGTTTTGCTTTTATCTGTATAAAAATTCCTCTCCATAGGATAAATTTAAGCTAAACAGGCAAATTATTTTAAAGTGCTTTTATCAATTTCTCAAATTTTTCAGTCTTTGATTCTGGGCATGATTTTTTTTAAAAATATTTACTTACAAATTAGAATCTGGTATCATTGTTTGAACTAATTATTATATTCTCTGAATAATATTATATTGCTAAATTTCTTAGAGTTAAAAAAAAAGGACAGTAATATAAATTGTAGAATTTCTTTGTTTCAATGTTATCTCTTATATAGTAGGAAGGAAGATTTATTGTAGTACAAATGTCAAATATTGCAATTAGCAACACTGAGCAAATATATAAATAACATGAAATATTATGAAGTATGAGCATTCTATTAAGCAAATGTAATATCAATATTTTTTATTTTTACAATTAGAGGATTGTATAATCTGGCAAGCAAGTTAGAAAGCAGGCAGTGTTTGAGATTCTTATTGAATTTTCCCTTTTGAGAATTGAAGAGGGAATTACTATTCCGCAAAGAAAAATAGGTTACTGTTATATAAGTGGGGCATGACTGCTTATATATTTAAATTTGACTATGATTTTTTTAGGTCAGCAATATATTTGATCCTGTCCAGAAACTTTCAATCACATCTTTTTTTTTGTCTCCATTACAATAGCTTCTTTTCATGAAAAATGAAATGCACTTTTAATACAATCTTACTTGCCAGAAGCTGTTTTCTAATGTGTACAGAAACTATTATAAACATACCAAAATTTTTATTTATAAATGGTAGTGTATTTATTTTATTTCTTTTCAAGAATTGTGTTTATATCTTGTCTTACCATACCTGCTGGCTTGGCTGGAACTCTCAGTGTTACACTTGAGATCTAAGCAATCCATATTCAGTTTTTTTGTCAGCCTTGAAGCTTAAGGGATGTTTGGTCATGGAAACACTTTATTATACAAGAAACTAACACTAAACGTATAATAAAAATTGAAAACTGTCTCAGTTTGAAGCTTTGAAATCATGGTAAGCCTTTTCATACCTCTAGAACCACTCTATTAATTTAAATGAGTTCCTCATGCTTATTGAGTATCACTGATAATTTATGAATCCAACATTGATTTTATCAAAATGCAACATGGCCCAAATTTGGAAGTGTGAGGTAGCACAAGGTTTATCAGCAAAGAAAAGAAAATTGGCAAAGTGTTCAAATTTGATCTGAGGCAGTTTGCATTCACTTAGCACTAATGACTTTCAGAAAGATAGGAATCCATATTCTCATGCTTTGCTCCCCCTTCACCACATATATATTAAAATATTTTTAAATGAGTAGGTAAGTGAGCAAGAATTTTAGCAAACCATTAATAACAGAAGCTGTTACATCCATTTTCGACCTTGACAGAAACTATATTATTCAAATGGCAAAAGTTTTCTATTTATATAGTTCATAATGTAAATAATTGCATCATTCATCAGGAAATTTCTGTAAGTCTTACTTGTCATCTAACATTAAAAACTAATTAAAAAAGTCAAAAATATTTCAAACTATTTTGTTTTTATATAGTAAAATAAAGGATGTTCTAGTCTGTGGAAGTTTAGTCTACTTATGCCAAGAGAGAAGATGGATGTTTGGAAGGTATCAGATATTTTTGATACTTCTCTTGATGAACTGCTCTGAGAGCAGATCATTGTGAGTGTCCCATTGACTCACTGAACTAAGTAAGCATATCCAAAGGCAGTTAGGCTATTGATTTTATCATTTTTTCCTTCTATTCAGTAATCTCTGACCTTAGAATTCAATGAATGTAATTTTATTATGTTGGTTTATCTTTTATAATTTTAAAGATCTTGCATTCCTGTTTGTTTCATGTCCTCATACACACACACACACACACACACACACACACACACACACACACACATATATTTCAAAATATTATTGTACTTCCTATAGATATTAAATAGAATATTTTGAACTGCAGGAGTTTAGAAAACAATTCTAGTGAAAATGAAAATGTAATATCTTTTACTAAATTTTTGAAATTTTATTCTAAATTGGAAATTTAAAAAAAAATTGAGGAATATTGGCATTAAAGTATTCAGAGACAAAAATTATTTAGTCAGTTTAAAAAATAAAATATCTATTTAAATAGCAAATCGCTCCCCCCCCCACAGCAACATGAAGGAATTTAGTCAATTTTGAGTTGTGTTACTTGGCCAGTTTCACACTGCAGTTTTTTGAGCGATTTCTAAAAAAAAATGTTATAGTACCAAAGTTCTCTTGGTAGTAGCCTGATGTTAGATGTTGACTGATTCACATGACAAATTGTGAAGAAAAGGCATATCTGTAATGTACTTGTGCAAACCATTCTTTATAGAATATTTTCTCTTCTCTATTTCAGTAATGATAAATAAAATGGTTAATGTTTGAAGCGAGATTTTGTTCATTTATTCATCATGAATAAATACACACACACACATATATATATATATATATATATATATATATATATATATATATTCATGAAAATTAATGACAAAGTGAAAAAATCTATTCATGTGACACATTTTTCATTGGATGTGATGTTAACATTGATGTAACTACACATGTGCATGAATGTGGGGGGGGGTGCAGTGATGCTGAAATTTTAAACTTTTAAATTTAATTCTTTTTTTTTAATCTATTTGGATAAATAGTCTAACCTATTTGATTTAGTATATTTTTGTTTATGTTTATAACACTTTTGTTATAAAATATCTCACATTGTGATATTAGAAAATCTGCCAAGAAATTTGAAATATTTTAAGAACTTAGATGTAAATTCACTATGGATGATCTAGCATTTAAAGAATTTTCTATACACATATACTCAGTGAATTACTTTTAATTTAATTTTTTCTGTTATCATTAATTTTCCTGACATTGTTCTGGTATATAAAAATTTATATATCATTTTCTACCATATATATATTCTGGAACTATATTATCCAGGGAACTTGGAAATATAATTCATTTTGATCAAAGGGGATCCCCAGGGTGCCCCCCCATTATTTCCCTTTGATTTAATTTAAATTTGAATACAGGAATGACTCCTATCCAAAATATAGGAGGAGTAAACCATAAAATGGAGGTCACATCAACAAGATCAAAATGAGACAATCAAGTTGAGCAAGAAATCACCAATCAGTGGATAGTGCCTTACAATAAATATTTGTTGTGAAAATTCAACTGTCATATCAATGTTGAAATCTACTCATCAATTCATTCAATCAAATACATATCAAAGGAGTCAGATCAATCTGTTTTTGTGCAGCACCCCACTGAAAATTTTTTTCTGTTTGATTTAAATTTGATTTAAATTTAATTTAAATTTAATTTAAATTGTAACAAGGGAATGATCCCTATCCAAAATATAGAAGGAGAAAGCCAGAAGATGATCACATTGGCAAGATCATTGAGTAATATTGAAATTCATCATTTTTCTCTACAAATTATAACAATGATTTAAAATCAATCATCACTTTCTTACAAAAAATGTGACATGCAGCAAGGCTAGTATATATATATATATATATATATTACTCCAAACATTATTTTAGTAGATACCCATGTTTGAGTAGACACTCGTTTTTTAAACAGTGTGAAGTAAGTTTACTGGCCTGTGCATTCAAGAGACTTAAAGAAAATGTGGTCTCTGGCAGGGTCTGAACCCGTACCTTCCTTTGTCAGGGAGAATACATTTTCTTTATTAAGTTGCTAAAATGCACAGGCTGGTTAATATAATTCAAACTGGTTTGAAAACCGTCATTTAGCCTGAAGTACCTTAACTGATTGAGCCATGGAGGATCAGTCGATTTTACTGCTTTTAAACTTCAATCTTCCATGAATCTCTCGTGTACATTCCTGCACAAAGCGTATCCAAATGTAAACAAATGACGTCGCATATTATGAAATGGACAAAGTCCGACAATTATTTTTAAGACATTTTTATGTTTATACATTCTTTTTATAGATACAAATATTTAAGTAAATGCTCGATCAGTTAAGGCACGTCAAGCTAAATGACAGTTCCATATAGGAAACAGGTTTGATTCCTGTTGGAGGATGAATATTTTCTATGAAAATTTCTCTGACATTCAGGATGGTAAATGTTATAAATAATGTTTATTATAAAACAGAGCATTTATTTAAATATTTGTATCTATAAAAAGAATGTATAAACATAAAAATGTCTTAAAAATAATTGTCGTCCATTTCAAAATATATATATATATATATATATATATACACACACACACAAGTATATAATTGGTATATACAGAATAAATTCCAATAACCAACAATTACTATTCTTAAAAGAGTGCTCAATACAAAGTAGAGCAGATAGATATAATTATTTTTTATAAAAAAAGAAAAGAAATTTATAACAAATATGTTATAAAATCACTACAAAAATAGCCATTTTGTTTCAACACCCTCGGTGTCTTATCAAGCTAATGGCTATTTTTGTAGTGATTTTATAACATATTTATGTTATAAATTTTTTTTTTATAAAAAATAATATATATATTGTGTGTGTGTTTTACTTTAAAGCGAAAAAAATCACAATATCTTTCAGATACTGAAATTCAAAATGTTAGTGAAAAGTAGATTTCAAATTTTTATTAGATTGCTCAACTATTAATATCCGTGTTTGATGCTATAATATGCCCCCATTTCTTCCTGCTACACTGAAAACTGTTGTAAACAATAGCATTAGTCATCATTGTTTCTAAAAAGCCTATATATTTCAGACATTTTGACATCTAGTTCCTTGTTCTGATGTCAAGCCACACTGACTAACCAAAATTCAATGATGAAAATTATATTCAGATTTTATGCATTGTTCTTATTAAAAACTGTTCTTAATGAGAAATTGTACTAATATCAGTAGTTCAGTCTTAGTTTCTGATTCTTTTAGCTGCATATATAGTTTTAATACACTGTTTTAGTTAAATCATATTGCATTGGAATGTATTATAATTTCCATGGAAATATTAGTTGAAGTTACTTTTTGAGGAAAATATCTAGTTTCTAATAAACCTTTGTTTTGTTTTTCTTTGTTTTAGATAGAAAATTCTGAAATGTTTAAATGTCCTTATCTGTCAGCTTTTGCTGTACACAGAATCATCATTACAAATTTTTAGTTAATTCATGTATTAAAATTTGATGTAAGTTGATATTTTTTATTGAATTTGTTTTGAAATAATTTTTTTTTTTTTTTTTCAAAACTGTTTATAAAATACATACAATGCAAATCATTATCTGCTAAGTACAGCCAAATTTTAAAATTTTCTTATAGAATTTATACTATTGTCGTTATCACAACATTGTTGCCATTGTGTCTTCATTAGAATTTGGTGACATAGTAAGTTCTATCTCTTAGCCAGTCAGTGTGTACTGGACTTGGTAGAAACAGGGAGACAAATAACTGAGAAGTACTAAAAAAAAACCCAAAAAACTAGATAAGATATCCCTAGACATGGGCATTGGAATGGGTCTACCATTCTAGGTTAAATAATGGATTCAATTCAGAATACACCTGATGAAAGCTAGAGGGCACAACAACCAGAACATTGGGATGATAATTACAACAACAATAAAGATGACAACAATAGTCCACATGTAAATAATGATAACTTGGAAATTCAGACAGAAATTATATATAAATTTTTTATTTCTTTTATTTATTTATTTTTTTTTTTAAAAGATAAATCATAAATGAGATGTTCAATAATATAACAAAAACCATAACCTCCCCTTTCTTAGTAATGGGATATACCGTTAAATGAATATGCCTCATGTTCTATAAAAACAAAATATCTCATTTGTAAGTATGGGTCGTTAGCTTTGTAATAAATTTTTTTTTTAATTATATTTTTGTGTTAATGTTCTTTGCATGTTTTTATTTTAATGATTTAAAAAGCAGAATTCTTTTTTGCATGTGATTTTACAAATAAAATATGTGATTATTGATGCAGAAAGTATAACCAATGCAATTGCAAAATTACTTAAATATTTCAATCATTAAAAAAAAGTTTTTTTCTTTTTGATGGCACAGGCAAATTAATTTATAAATAAGAAATTAGGATTTACAAATTCATATAATTCAGATTTAACTGGGTTAAATTGCTCTATTTATCTACTATTCATGGGTTTGGGAGCAGCTTAACATTTTCAGATGACTAAAATATCCATACTTTTGTTTTTAATCTTTTTTAAAAATAAAAGCGTTTTAAAATATAATATACTTTTTATGTTGTATTTTATTTTATGCAATTATTATAGTAAATCATCATCAGATCTATTCACCTACTTTTCACAGGTTTGGGTGAATCCAGACCCGGTAATTCCTTTATAAATACTTTTTCTTTGCAACTAACTTTTTCTTTTCTCTTTTTCTCTCTCTTTTTCTTATTCATTTCATCAGTATTCTGAAATTTGAATAAAAATTTCTGCTTGTTACCTTTTGAAAACTTACCACTTTTTTATCCTCTTTCCTTGACTAATAACAAGGTTTTGCTTGGCTTCTGTCGATTATTTTTGTACTTATTTTTAGAAAGTACTATACTGCATATTTGAGGCCAACAAAGTTATCAGACTTAACTGGTTACATTGCTCAAGTTTGTGTATCCTTAAGTGTGAAATTTTTCAAAATAAATTGTCTAGGTTCTAATTTTCTTTTCTATTGGCGTTAATATATAAAGCTTAATTTAAAAATAGTTCTACTGTTTTTCTAAGGATTTATGTATTTTATCAAGTAGATTAGAGCTTGGGTTGCCAATTCTGTCAAATAAACAACATAAAGAAAAACATATGAATAGTAATTTTTTTATTTAATTCCTGTTGATACACAATATAATTGAAAATGACATTATTTTTTTACCTTCAAAATTCAACACAGGACAAGGACAGAAGAGTTAAATAAAGGATTGTTCTTTTCAATGAAGGGCAGTTGGCAGCCAGTAAAAGTGACAGCTATTTAAAAAAAAATGCATTATACATGATAAATTATCTTTTACTTAAATCCTGATTTTTTTGTTCAAATTCCTATTAAAATGCTTCCTTTAAGATTTACAGGAATAATTATAAAATACCACATTTACTTATCTCGTAGAAATAAAAGCCATTGATTACCATGTTTATTTTTTTTTTTTTCAACCAGCCTTTGTATATAACTACTGAGTTCATCTATTTATTTTTCATGGACCCTCTTAAGATATGGAAATAAAATAACATACGATTTTATGCCAAATATTTTCATCTGAAATATTCAAAAGTAAATGTAAAAAAAGCATCTGCCTGTAAATATTGTAAGTCTGTTTCAATTATATATAAAAATTAGCCATTATAGCTATTATTCCAATAGTAGTTTGAACTATGGAATTTTTTTTTTTTTACTCTTTTGCTGTTATCACAATGTTATGCATGATCCATTGTCCAGCATTCTTCAGGTGTTCAGTTTGTAAGGAAAGAGTGGTTTCCTTTTCCAAAAACGATAAGCAGAAAAAGACAGTGGCAAATATACTGATCAATTGATTTAATTCTCAATAACCCATGTAACATAATATTTTTATATGTATGGATGCTGTCCAACCATAGTTATTCCAACCCTGTACATTAGTTGCAAATATTCAAATGTTTCTTATTACTTTAAACATATTTTAATGTATACATGTGTTTGAGTAGATGTCCGGTTTTATTTTAAACAGTGAGAATTGCATCTACCTTTACGTCTGTGAATTAGTCTTAATAAAGAAAATGTGGTCTTTGTAGGGGAAATCGCCACTTGATTTGGTGTGCTCAATCACAAAAATCATGTGGTAGTTTCCTTTGCAAAGGGAGACACAGGTTTGAATCCTGCTTGAGGGCACATTTTTTTAAGACTCTCAAATGCACAGGCTGGTAGATGTAATTCTCACAGTTTAAAAAATAACAGAATGTCTGCTCAGATACCTGTATCTACTAAAATATAATGTTTAAGAAAAAATAGTGTTAGATTAAAAATAAAAATCCATTAATTCCTTAGAGAATAGGCTTATGGATACATCACATTGAAATACCAGTTGGTGTATGTTAAGCAATGTCAAGCATGGTCAGTACCTACATTGGTAACCGCTTGGGAATATTTGGTGCTGTAAGCTTGGATTTGTGGGTGATGTAATGGATAATAGCTTGGAATTGTTAATCAGAGAGCTGAGTTCCAATTCTAGCCAGGTTCCTTATATTTCTTTACATGAAAATACCCTTGGGGAAAGTATGAATTCACCTCTTCTTCACTCAGCTATGGGTTAATTGGTAAGACTTGTATCAGTAAACAATTATCTCCAAAAATAAAATAAAATTGTGTACAAAATATTTAGATTTTGGCATTAAATAATCCATAGAGGTTGATATGTCACTAAACAAAAACAACTAACCAACTGACTTTAGAGAATATCCAGATGTAAAAATTGCAATATGAGCACTGGTAAAAATGGTTGCTGAGACATTAGGTTTATAATACCCAGAAATTCATACACAGATGTCCTCAGTGGATAAAGGCATTGGTTAGATCCAGTGACAGAACCCAAAGAGTGTGAGTTCAATACCCAGTTAAGGCAGTGGAGAACTTTCAGAGGGAAATTAACAGGAGATAACTGATAACTGACATCCATTAAACATGGCACGTGGAACTAGTGAGCGTAGTAAAGGGTTCAGTTTGACATTCCAATCACCTGAAGAAGGACGGAGCGTACAACGGCCAAAACGTAATAAATATGGCGACAAAGATGAGGATGATAGTCCGAATAATGTAAATAATGTGTAAAACTTCTGTTTTATATTTTCAGTGGGTAGTTTTAGCAAAGAGGTGGAAGTTGATAAAAAAAAAAAATGAATTAGTATGGAATAAAAGCGTTAACTTGATTGTTAATTAAATTATTTCTTTGTAGATATTTACACAGCTAAGCTGAATCTAATAGAGGGCAACTGGTGAAGATTAAACTTGGTAGCAATGGCTTGCCTGACTAGCCTGTGTGTTGTTACTTTTGAGCAGGCACCTAAATATTTAAATGTATTTGAAAAAGTAGCTAACAACTGCTTTGTTTATTTTTTCTGATAAAAATCTTTTTTTTTTCTTTTTACTAATTACCCATAATGCTTATGCAAATATTTTTTTTTTCCTTCCTAAAAGTTTGTTTTTCATTTTACATCTTTGCTTGCTATTGATTCTCTAGAATCTTTCTCTTGCTGTGCATGCTTTTCTGTTTATGCAAAACTTACACATTCATTTCCTTTCATGAATTTTGCATTTATTGTTTTGAGTGTAGAAAGTTTATTCTCTGTATAATTTTATACAATAGCCTTTGGCCTTTTATTGACTGCATTTATTTCTGGTTTGCTTTCTCAATACTTTATTTTATCTTTTTTTTTTTAAAAAAATTCTGTATTTTTTAATCTAATAGAATACTTCAATGACTAAAATTTAAATTGGGTAATTGAATGGCAAAATGGAAAAAAAATTCTAATGCATTTCGTCTTTTAAAAAGGACTTCATCAGACTAAAATAATGTTCTTATTGATGGAATTATATATCTGTAGAGGTGGGGGTAAATATAAATGAAAACATCAGTTATAATTATGCAATGAGAGTAAATGCTAAAGATGTAGGGGCATTTAATTTTAACTTTTTAAATTTCTGGAGTTCAATGTGTTTAGATAGCCAATTTCATTCAGTTTCCCAACACTTTTTTTTTTTTTTTTTTTTTTTTTTTTTAGCAATGTTTTTCTAATTTTCCACACTGACAACAGAATATTTGTTAAGAGTGGTGAATTGTAAGAACCTGAATGCAAATTTAGTATGGCAGACTCAGAAGTCAGTGCACTTTCAATACCTTTTCACCTTATAAAATTACTTTCCCCTTTAATTAAAGCAGCATTTTTTCAGTTGAAATTATGGTAATATATTTTTTATGTACACAAAGCTTTTTAATACAGAACAATTTATATATTGAGTTTTTGAAGTTACAAATATTATATAAAGAATTTATAATTAAAAATCTAAAAAAAAACTCTGTATAAAATTTACTATTGTGGTATACAAAACCTATTATCCAGCTGAGTATGTATAGCTTACTATTGTGAAATTGTATGAGGGGTGATGAAAAATTCTCAACCTGACCTTCTCAAAATCTGACCAACTTACTTCAGATTTTTATTTTTTTTTTATTTAATGGTTTGGTTGTGTTGAAAACTTTTCACCACTGTCTTATAATATTCCATACAATATAAAATTATATTAAAAATTATTTATGTTTAATAAAAGCACAGATAACAAAAACTTTTTTTCTTGATACATAGCTATTAAAACCCATCAATTAACATGCATATTTCTAAAAATGGAATGCTCTGGATTTTAGATCAATAATAGCTGAGACATTTTCAGAAGGTAGGGTATTATTACCCTTCTAAGTGGTAAAACCTGCCATAATATTTGGCATTTGAAAAAAATCTTTGTATGTCTTTGAGCAGTACTATATTGTCTTGAAGATAACTTATTTATCCATCATTCCCAAACTAGACTGGATATTTCAAGTTTTGAAATTCACTACAAAGAAATTGGTTGTTAAAACTCATTAGCACATTAATCTAGGAAAATCTTTGACTTTGAAATATGGCAAAAAGTATTGGTGAACCCTGTGGTAAAATTTACAAAATAATAATAAAAAAGTAGAGTATAATATTTTGCATTTGTATGTTGTATAATTTTGCATGCATTTTATTTGATATTCTCAAGTAGTTTTACCTGAATTGCTTTTCAGTGAGAGCTTAACAGCATATTTGTTGAATATGAGCAAGAGAATTACATTTTCATTATTAAGTCTCTCTACTTCTATATGTAGTTATATTTCTTTGCTTAAAATATAAGCAATACAGATTACTTTCATTTTCTTCTTGGCTATTAACAAACAGATTAGAATTCATTGTTGTACAATCACCAGTTAAGCAATGTTGAGCCTGGTCAGTGCGTAGATGGGCGAACACTTGGATGTGCAGCTAGTGTAATGGATAATGGCTTGGAATTGTTAATTTGAGAGCCAAGTTCCAATTTCTGTTGGATTTGTTATATTCACTTATATGCAAATACCCTTAGGAAAGATACGAATCCACTTCTCCTGCCAGCTATGGGTTAATTAGTAAAACTTGTATCAGTAAACCATTATTACATTATTAAATTTTTACAATCTAAAAATATTTTCTGGCTATAAATAACATGCAAAGGGTTAAGCTATAAAAAAAATGAGTCATCAATGAAATAAATCTGGCTCATCTGATTACCAAAATATACTTTATTTTTTGACCATT